AATTTCTGCAGGACAGAACAGTTATCTCTGAGAAGCAATTCTGCACATTCTTGTGATACCTGCAGTTGTGTGATAGCCTTCAATTTAAATGAACCTTTGGCAGAAATGAATTTTGAACCTGGCTAGCATACTTGTGCATTGACACGAACAATTTGTTTTCTCAGATTTTTGATGGCTAGATTTATTATTTATCAAGATTTAGCTGCTTTCTCTGGAATGCAAGATGTATATAGATAGATCTGTTTCAGGCAGCCCTTAACCCCTAGGACTGAAACACTAGTTATATGTAGTAATACTCATACGTTCATTTCTATACAGGTTTTTATGTCCTCTTCTGCATGTGCACCTTACTGTTTGTTTGTAAAGTACAATAGTTAAGAGTGCTAGAGTTCAGATGAATACATAGTGTTAAAGTTGACCGCATAGCAGCACAAAGTACCAGCAGTCCATTCAGCGCACCCATCCTTGCTATAGCCGTGGTAAGTGGGGTCGAGGCTCATTCAGATCGCCTGCTGCTGTTGCATGGAGCAGGACTTATTTTAATTGTGAAAATTAAACCTGTCATATACTCCTGCCAACATAAATCTGGGAGAAAGCAGAGCTTAGGGAAACTGTGGAACCATTCTGTATTTATGCTGACATAGATAAAAATTAGCACAGAGATTTTTAAATGACCCCATACTACTTGCTGTGAGCAGAGATTAGACCTCAGACCTACTTGGTTTCCAGCTTGTTGTGTTCTGTTGGTATTAATTCGTCAGCTTTCAGTTTTGCTAGGTATTCTTGTTTTTCCCCTTTCACAGGAACGTTTCCCCCACAGTCGCAGGTTTAATATACATGAATGCAAGTTTTTAGCATGTGTCACAAGGCACGCTTCCCTGTATTTGCTGGTAAAACCATTACTGGTTGAACCAAACTGATGTCATATTTATGAGATATGGTTATGAGTTGTATATTACCATTCAATTTACGTTTCACTAACGAAGCATTTTTTGGGGGAATGAAGTATCCTAAAACAAAAAAATATATATTTTCCCTCATCCCTGACCTTTCCATTCCGCTGACCTGCTGGAAAGTAGCTCTGCAGAGAAGGACCTGGGAGTGCTGGTGGACAACAAGTAAACCATGAGCCAGCAGTGTGCCCTTGTGGCCAAGAAGGCCAATGGTCTCCTGGGTGGCATGAGGCAGAGTGTTGCCAGCAGGTGGAGGGAGGTGATCCTGCCCCTCTACTCAGCCCTGGGGAGGCCTCACCTGGAGTACTGTGTCCAGTTCTGGGCTCCCCAGTACAAGAGAGACATGGAGCTACTGGAGCAAGACCAGTAAAGGCCCATAAAGCTGATAATGGGAGTGGAACATGTCCTATATGAAGAAAGGCTGAGGGAGCTGGGCCTGTTCAGCCTGGAGAAGAGAAGACTGAGGGGGGATCTCATCAATGTGTACAAGTATCTGAAGGGAGGGTGTCGAGAGGATGGGGTCAGACTCTTCTCCGTGGTGCCCAGGGACAGGACAAGAGGCAACGGGCAGAAACTGAACCACAGGAAGTTCCACCTAAACCTGAGGAAAAACTTCTTGACTGTGAGGGTGACAGAGCACTGGCACAGGTTGCCCAGAGAGGTAGTGGAGTCTGCTTCGCTGGAGATATTCAAAACCTGTCTGGATGTGATCCTGGGAAATATGCTCTAGGTGACCCTGCTTGAGCAGGGTCATCTCTAGATGATCTCCAGAGGACCCTTCCAAACTTGGCCATTCTGTGATCCCGTTTACACGTGGATTAGTCCCATCTGTGACACTGCAAGGAACTGTGATTAGCATGAGATGATTGTGCCATGACATATCTTTGAACCTTGAAGATAAGAACTAGATACAGCCAAGGTTACATATGAATGCAGCAAATGGAGGGAGTACCTTTTGGCTGTGCATGACCAATCACCCAATCAAGCTGCAGCTCTGGTCAGCTCAACCTGCTCTCCTGCTGTGCTGTTCACGACTGATCTTCTGCTTGAGGATACATAGGTCTTATTGTGGTCTAGTTTATGCCAACAGAAGTCAATGTAAGCAATAATGGTTTTGTGAGCAAATTGTGCTTTTAAACTATATAAAACATAAAGTGAGGATTTGCTACTGCCATGCTCTCCTTGTTCACAAATTTTCTCCTCCTCTAAACTTTGGATTGTGTTCAGTAATTGTGCTGGTTCTTGCAAGCTTCCCATGCTGCTGCATGAGGTATTAAAGGTTTTGATTTAGTTGTTACTCTTGAGGAAATAAACTTATGCAGTACATGTAGTTTAGACTAATCTCAATATTAAAAGAATGGATGAAGAGTGAAGAGATAGTCAGATAAGCATGGATGGTTTTCACACAGTAAATTCCTGGAATAATATTAATATTTATGTATCTACCTGATTTGCAGGCAAAATTAAATATTTATATAGTTATGTGTTTGCACCCATGGCTTTGGTTTCATTCTTACAACTAATGGCAAGCATCTACAAAACTGAAGAGCGTTTTTACAGGCTGACTGCTAAAGTTCCTCTGCTGAAATTCAGTTACAGACAGAGATAAAATCCTCCAGTGAAAGCTGTTCCCCTTTAAAAATGAATAAAGCTTATAGCAGAAAACTGGTTCAGGCAGCGGTCTAAGTTTTTTATCTCAGGAGAGATTTATCGTTATGTCACTGCTAATGAATTAAATGATGGAATGTTCTCAGACACTGGAGCTCCATGAAGTGTAATGTTACAAGGTAACCGGTATGACCACCTCAGACTGTCACGAAGCATAAATCAGGAAGTTAGTGTGCCAGGGTCTGTCTGTATCTAGTAGCAGATAGCCAAGCTCTGCCTCTCTTCCCTACCATGGGAGAAAACATAGAAACGACTGTGTCAAAATCTTTCCAGGACTGTAATGTGATCTTGTAACAAACTGATACCATCATTTGGTCACATCCATGCAGGCAAGACCAAGTTCCTTTGAGGACTATCAGAATGATTTGCCAGTGTGGAGATGTCACTTCATGCTGTCATATAACCTGCTCTTCTGCTAAGCAAGCAATTTATTGAAGTAATACCTTTTAGACTGGTTTCAGATACTTTGTACTTAGCCATTTTCTGCACTGTCAAAAAGCCAAAATTTTTGTTTTCTAAGGGTCTATTGTCACCAACAGCAAGTAACATATCAATTATTTTGAAACAAGTGGCTTTTACTGTCCTAGGAAAAATACAGCAATTAAGTGACTTACTGAGATAATGGATTTAGCGGGAGTCTTTCTGTCAGCATGTAAATCATGTACAGTGGTATGTACAAAATCATGCACAAAACCACAATGAGTTAAGAAAGCTTCTCCACAGCAACATAATAAAAGGACAATCTTTGAAAGTCCAAGCATAGAAACTGAATACAGCCTGAGAAAGTGTGTCACTCACTAATTATGGAGAGGCTGTCTCTTAAATTCGTAATGAGCTTTCTATTATAAACCTATTTTTTTTCTTTTTTCTTTCCCAAGACAATTGAAACTGCTCAAATAATTTTGAACATTTTTCACATGCGACTTTGCTAATGATGCTTTAGGAGAAACAGCATAATCTGGCCTGGTCTTCCCACTACTGCTGCAGCACTGAATGGCAGGACCCCCTTGAGCCTGGCGTTCCGCTGCAGCCAAAATGCTTTTCCTTGGTGCTCCCCTCCCAGCTGCAACTCATTATGCAGCAGAGCTGCTTTGGTTTTACTCTGTGCCGAATCATTCATACCTGTGCAGATGAGGCTGGATTTTCTCTGATTTGCAAAGCTGTTTGCTTAACTCTGTATTCCACTTGTGTGGAATTTTTATTTGGATTAGGTACTAGATATACACCTAGGCATCTATATAAAGAAACATTTATATTGAAGCCATTTAATAGCACTTTATTCTAAGTTATATTCACCATGATGCTTTTCATGGAAAGCATGCATTTAAAATTCATCATCAGTCTATATCCTTTGATATTTCATTTACCTAGTAAGTAAAATCCTAAATACTGAAAAAAAATTCAAATGACAAATTCTACCATCCTGTCTCCCATACCATTCATATTTCAATTTCATACTTACACAGTGAACTAATTTACATTTTGCAATTTGGCCTCAATTGTTTCCCTTTCTGGGTCAGGAAAAAATGGCTTTCTACATTCCTGTTTAAAGAAGGACACGCACAACTGCACATTATGAAAAGACTTGCTAGCATTCTCAGAGGCTCAGAGAAGGATTTACATTTGCCCAGATGCAGAGCAATAATGGCGTACTACTGTCTTCCTCCCACTTCTCTCAGATATATTCCCCTTGGGAAATAATTTACATCTAACACGTATAGTGAATGAAATGACCTGTGCGGCTTAACAGCATATGCCTTGCCTCATTTATACACTATTCAGGCACCAAAAATAGTAAATTCTGTGTGTCAGCCTGAAAGAAATGGTTAGTCTTTGTTCCTGAAGGTATAGACAGCATAGGGTAGAGGTTGACCTATATAGCTGGGAGCAGGGATTAGGTGGGAAGACTTTGGATCCTTCCCATGGAAATTTGTTGCAAGCTAGTTAATCTCCTCCCCTAGCTGCAAGCCATTTGAGTAGAAGGGCAAGATCCCTCTCCGTAACTATTCTGCGCAGCTCATTCTTTTGATAGCCTAAATATATGGCAAGCCTCTGATATGTACCATAGAGCCTCTTTTAGCAGATACTGTTGCAAAGGAAGAAAATAAAAATTGGCCCATTTACTCAGCATGCTTCCAGCTATGTATGTTAGTTATTGTACTGGAGAGGAAACAGAAAACCTCATTACTCTTTTTCAGTTCTCCATGTGCTTACAAGTACTGTAACATGCAAGGCAGTTTATAATTATCATCATGACTCACTTAATACTAGTAACTGCAACTATGTCCCCAGAGGAAATGACTTTTCCATACCCTTCGGTTCAGTTCTTTTTTGTATGAAAGACCCACCCCTTCTCTCTTGTTTCTTTTCTTTTCCCAGAACTCCTGAGCTGATGTTAAGACGTGGCTTCTAGCAGGTCTGAGGCAGAAGATAAGTCAGACTTTGGCCCTAGCAAATACTCTTCCCGCTGTCTCTGCTTTCGGGGAAAAAGAAGACAAAGCAGAAACAGCAGCTTCCACAATTCCACTCCCTCTCTCCAGAACATGAATACAAACCAACTGCAGAAGAAAATAGCTTGAATTCGGTTAAAGAAACTAAGCAAAACCTCCTTACTTTCTGAGACCTGTCCTGTTCAGTCTGTGCCTGATTGTAAGACAGATAAATTCCCTGAACAGTTAAAAGAGGGCCTTACTGAAAAAACAGCAGATGGTGAGAAGCACGGCTGCATTTTGGAGTTCAGCAATGGAGTGAACATTGAGCTGAGTTTCACACGGCTTGGGCTTTCCAATGTCCAGTGAAGAGGAAATGATGAGCAAACAAACGAAGATTAAAAAAATAATGTGCTAATTCATAAATCCAAAATCTGCTTCATGTTTCTATCAGGAAGATATTATACAAAAAGAGTCAATGGAGATCAAGGATAAGAGCAGGTAAAAAACTTAACTCCTGAAGGAATTTTTTGTTAGAATAGACTGGCTGACATTGTTCTTGGCCAACGCCCTGTGGTCTTACTGAGATAAAGACTGGGTCTGAAACTGACTCAGTGTTTATAAAAAATTGCTATTGTTAAAAGAGAAATTAATTTCTTAAGTTACAAAATCGTATGTAGGTGCCGGGTTTTGTTGCATTTATTGCATTTGTGAGTTGTCTCTCTGAAATTAATGGCAACCAATAGGAAAAATGAATCACTTCTGTGAGTAACAGATTCATAGCCTGACTTTCAAATTACGTGTACAGTCCACATTCACTGTAGCATTTTTTGAAAACAAGGAAAAGGGAAAGTTTTCTTCTTACCTCACTTGTCCAACTTTGGATTCAACAGGTTGCTTTACTGAGAAGAATGTATAACCTGGCTACCAGCTAAAAACAAAATAAAATAGTTCCTTGTGTGGATAGTGTTTAAACAGAGCTTATGAGATAAATATTTATTTGGCTATTAAGCTGTCATTAGAAATGTCCTTATTTGCTATTAATGGACCTTGCATGTAGATTGCAGCGTTCACTCCCAGCCTTCACATCTGCAGAACTGCCACTGATGCTCAGCTTTCTGTAACACCCAGCCTCTGTATTTTCTGTCTGTTGAGGAGCTGGGCTTTGCATTGTGTTAGAAAACTGGTTTTGGAGCAGTTGCCTGTTGCTTCAGGGTCCACTCCATTAGCTTCCTGTGTAATTCTGTGAAAATTCATGAAAATTATGTATCTTCTATTGCTAGGTGATAGCAGGATAAAAGATTTTGGGGTGTGAGTATCTCTTTTTCCTTTTAGATCAGTTAACTAAGGCCTTCTAATGCAAAGTTTGTACCTCTGGAAATCTTTCTTGGCCCTCTGAGCTGTACATATTGCACAAATTATCCATGCAGCAAGCTCTTCTGCTATCCACTAAGACATGAAGGTCTGCTGTATAGAGCAGCTCTGATGGTCAACAACTGGGATGGCACCAAGGACGGAAATGGGACCACAGGTGAAATTACAGAGCTGTCAGGGCAAGAACTGGAAAGTATGAATTATCCTAGATTGAGCAGGGTCAATTTTCAAGTTGGAGACTGTGCGTTGGACAGAGCGGGGAGCGAATTGCTCAGGTTCAAGAGTTGTAGCAAGAGGAAGGCAAAGGGTGAGAGGGAGTTGCAGGGTGCAAGTCTACAGCATGATAGCTGGAAAGAGCTTCCATGGTGGAAGGGAGGAGTAAGGAGACTGTGAGGAGGAGTAGGGAAGAATAACTAGGGTTAGAGGAAGTTGGAAAAGCGTGCCAGCTGGAAGAGGTTGCTGCTTTGGCCCATTTTCCACTGTCCAGTGAGACTACATGCTGCCTTGTGGACAGCATCTGAGCTCTGCAGCAGTCTAGATTTTGGATAAGGCACAATTTTATGGCGACAATCAACATCTTTGCTAACAGGAGGTTATTTAAGGGTGTCTAAGGGAGAGAGAGAGAATAAAAAAAATCTGCTCATGGTTAGATAATTACAAACAATAACCAAAAACTTACAAGGGGAAAGTTACTGTTTCTACATCCAATCCTACAAAGACTAGCCCTGGAGTTTCCTTGGCTGAAGGAGTATATAAAGATATTTAAGACTTTCAGAAGAGATGTCAAGCTTACTATATTGTTTACAAAGCCATTGCTTGGTCTCACGTTACTGAGTTGGAACAATTTGTAACTGAGATGGTTAATTACCCCAGAAAGGAATATATGTAAAAGCAGGTACATTAGGAGCTCTCCTTATGCTTGTTTTGATTTGCTAACAGAAGGCATTGATTCTGAGTCCTTTCCTTTAATTCACTGTGGCTGACCAACATTTAACCACTACAGCAAAAGGAAGTTAGCACTTCTTTTCTTTCCTCTGAAAAGCTTTTATATTCCTTGGTAACAATTTTTTAGTTGATGAACGTACCTCCCAAAGGCAATGTTTGCTGAATTCCCCTTAGCACGAAAAGTTCATTTCGCTACTCATTACTGCTTCCTTTTCAGTCGCAGAAATTGCCTATTGCATGTTAAAGACAAGGAACTTACTTGACTTTTACATGTGAAGGACTCAATCTGTTCTGCCAGAAGATTTCTTGCAGTGACTGTTATTCATGCTGCCAACAATTTAAAATCTATATTTCAAGATAGACACTCCTGGATACTATTAAAGGATGAGTTTTGTACCACCAAGATCATAAGTGACAAATATGCTGTCGTGTCAGTTATATAATGGTTTTTGCTCATTTAGTTCCACACAGTTTGCTTTTATATAATTTTATATTAAACAGAGTTTCTGTTAGGCTATGCAGTAATATTGCTGAATCCCTGTGTGAATTTTTCATTCTCATGTCAAAAATGACAGATCTTAAAGATGTTGGCACAGTATTTTATCTAAGCTTTCATTTAAGGTTGATATAAATACTGATATTGTACCTATCTATTCTTAATGGTAGTCAAGTGTCAATTTTCAAATCTGTGTGTAGAATTAGGGCATTCGAGGCCTAACTTGAAGCAAATATCTCAGCAGGAGCAGACCTGTGTGCCCTTATGGTGTCACATCAAATTAGTTTGCTTCCCAGATTTTGGTGTATGCCGTCCTCCAGCCATGTCATCAGTCTACTGCAAATCAATGCTTTCTGGGGCAGGGCCAAGCTTTTTTCCTTTTTATTTTTTTGTACAGTGTCTATTACAATACCATTTTGCTCCCAGTTGGAGCTTCATGGCATTTTTGCAATATACATGTAAAAGTAGTAGCTAAAGTACAGAATTCCAGTCCAGGTTCTGACTCTGAAGTTTTAGAACTTGTCTCTTCACTGTACATATTTGGTACTGTTAAGTTAAGTTTGTGGTAACAGGGGTGCAATTCTCTTGACTTCCCATCTTCCTTTTTCTTTCTGTCAACATATAGATGCAATAAAAATCAACAGAAACTTTTTCTAGGTAATTAAAATGAACTTCCTTCCCAGAAAGGCTTAACTGATGAAGCTCTAGATAGTTTTCACTCCAGTATTAGTTTGTACTAAAAGACATGCTGCCTTTAATCCAGTTTCCATGCGCCCATAAAATTTTTGGGGTATTGAAGTGCTTTAAACTGGTCCATAAGGGAGGGATGAAGTGCATTCCAGCTCCTGTGTCACTGATGCGCAGATGGGATACACACTACAGCATTAGTTACCAAAACCCATCATCTGCTAATCTCGTCTTCACTGATTATGAAACCTCTTTATTGCTGTCATTTTTTTTGCAGGGTGGTACTTCAAGATAGGCAAGAGCAGGCTAATTCAAGAGAAGTTAACACAGGCTTAGTTAATTTACACTTAAGTCATACCCATATTTCAATATAGATTTTATATAAATTAGAATTATAGAAATATTGCATCTAATCAACTCTTTCCATAACTTTGTTTGTGTGAACATGAATACAAATGTGAAACAAGCATACAATCTGCTGTACATTTCAGAACCTGCTTGCTAGCCTGTCTAGGTGTCCTATGGCCCTTCTCACTTTCCTTAATCTTTGTAGAAGATTCCTTTGATTTCCTGCTTCTCTTTTGTCCAAATATACAGAGGTATGCCAAGGGTCATATCATCTCTATGCTTTCACACTAGCAGACATGTAAACAATGGTGGTATTTTCAAAAGCACCCTGCCCTCAGCTAGTGGAAGTTTTAGCATTTACTTCAGTGGAAGCAGTTAGGTTGCCTTTAGGACTTATTCTTGGCGAAGCTATAGGTTAGCGCACCCTCAGGTCTGCAGATATCATAGTTCCTGTGGTTGCTTTGTGTCTCAGCTCAGCGAAAATGAGGCAAATAAATTAGCTCAAATCATTTATAAAATAAGTGTTGGTTAATTTGGCTCATAAAAACTGAACCAGGGTAGGGGGTAATTATGTAAAAAGTTCCACCAGCAAACCGGAAAGAAGATTGAAATGCATTTGGGGGCTAGGTGGCTGGAAATAGTCTGTTTACCCTATGCTGCTTCACGTAGGACAGGACACTGAGGCAGAAGCTCTGCTTCCCGATGAATGATTCTGCAACTCTTGTGTTCGAATTAAGTGTTTCAACCAGTATTTACTTGCAGATATTACATTTCTGTGACTGGATTTGTCACATAACCCAGGAATCCTTTATATTTCTTCTGCTCTACGTTTTTCTGAAAGTGGAAGTCCTGTGTCATTTCTTCCCCCTTGCCTCACTTCTTAGCACTAGGCTCTACATGTGTGTCTCATGTCTCTTCCTGTGGGCCACCCACCAATCTCCCTTTGTCTGAAGGATTAATTGTTATTTGTGTTACTGTTCTAAAACCTGCTGGGAAGGAGATAGAGCTGATATAGAGCTGATATAGAGCTAGCGTTATCCTAAAGAATATTAATGGGTATCATCCACTATCTCTTACACGCACAGATACTTGCAGAGGCGCTTGAAGTTGTGGATTGCCATAAGTTAAGAAAATTGCATGCCTTGTATTTCCTTCTGTTTCATAGTGTAATATTTTCTCCAGGTATATAGGGTTCTGTTCACTGATGCCTAGAAAATACTCTAAAACTTCAGTGCGTGATTAGACGCAGTATTCAGAAGCAATCACCTTGCATAGAGATGGAGAAATACTTCTTAAAATGTTTAATACATGTAATCTGTGGCTGCTGGTCTCATTTTACAATTATCGAGTGGATTATCCTCACTTATATAGAAATATAATAGCTTTATGAAGTATGCTGGAGTGAAAATGAGAAAAATCTCTTAAGGTAGTATGGAAAAAAATGACCTTAGATAACATGATTACAGCATGTCTTTTCACTATGTTGATTAAAAGTTTGAAAGGTTGTTTTGTTTCCAGCATAGAATTGTAGGGTGCTACTCAGATCTGGACTCAAGATGTGAAATACATGGTGGACCAGTAAAGGATATTTCAGAGCTAAAGAGAGTTCAGCTCTCCCACTTCCAGGGTAAAATCTTAACTATTAGGTCACTGTGATGCAAAAGTGGACGATGTACTAGCTGCAGTTGTTATTTTGAAAAAGTGAGTTTAGTTAGAGGTCTTATTTCAGAAATCCTCTCAATATAGAGCGTGCAGAGTCTCTGAAAGATGGGAGTAAGTCATATACAACCTTATGCCTCATAGTTCTTTTTACTTATTCTCTGAATGTGGCCTCTCCGGACTGCACCTCAGAAGTGCCTGACTTTGTTGATTGTATAGGGAGCATAGGCCTTTGGATGTCCTAAATGGAGGTCCAGATTGATTAAGGTATTAAGGCACCTACATTAGGAAGTGAAATCAATTTGCAAATTTAGCCTCCACTTTTCTGGTGTTGCAAGGTCTAAAGTGGCTATTCTAAATCTGGCCCTTTTATTGCTAAAAAGGCCATAAGGAAACAACAACAGCAATTTAACATATTGCTTATTCAAAAATGTGTGCCAACAGCAGTTCTTGCAACACTATAGTCACTCCTAATGCAATTCTCTAAAGAACAATTGAGTTTATTTTTATCATCATTTTGGCTTAATCTTTTGCATAATTTGAAACATCAAATTTCTTCTGCTAGTATTTTATTATTTGTGCTGACTAGAATAGAAAACCTAATGATTCGTAGCAATTCAGATTTGTGGAGTAATGTTTACTCTTCTATAGTTAAGACTAAGGTTAGCTCCTCTCCTGAAGGGCTTTAAATATGTCCTTTCCTAGAGGCAGAGCTAAGAGGAAGTTTGTTAACTTCAGTATTTGAGAAGGTTTTGAAATGTTATGATTTGTTTGTGCCTTCTTGCTCTGCTCTTTCTCCTTATTAGCAAGGAGTAAACTGAAGGAAGGTTTATGGTCTTCTAAGTACTTTCCATTGGCATGTGTTTAGTGCTATCAAGGAATGGTCCTGAACATTAAAACAAATAATTGAGCCAGCATAAATCATTAAATGGAAATAAAAGGCTATTACTGGCCTCTGTGCCCTTACATCTTTTGTTTATTATCATCAGTATTTCAAAAGTGTCCTGTTCTTTTGATATTTGGGCACTGGTATGTACATTTAGAAATATATCAGCTTGCAAAAGGCATAAGAATAACACTTTCCTCTAGTTCTTGAATATTTTACTAAGCCATGATTACACAGATATTTGGCTTAGAAGCTGCCTATAATAGTTCAACATGATGAGTACAGAGTAGGAGAACTGATTTAAACACACTGCACCAATCTGTAATAAATAGTTTCAGCAAAAGAGTTAAATTGTGTAACAAACTTTTGGGCAAAGCCAGGTACTTTGTTTGAATCACGTGCTTCACAGGCCAGACGCTTTTTTTTGTTTTTGTTTTGTCACTGGTACTAAATATGACTACAGTTCTTTTAGTGCCTTCTTTCAAGAGAGAGAGACTTGTTTTCTGTTACTGATGATGTTCAAATAAAGTAGTCACTTTCCACTAAGGGGTGGTTTTCCAGTGAGTAACATATGTGTCATCAGAGAATGGTAAGTTTATTCTCATACTTCTTGAAAAGAGGTTAGTAAGCAAAGAGAAAGCAAGCTTCTGGCAGTGACTGGTGACCAATGCAATCTATAATCTCTGGCTGATGTGAAATATTTACAACATAATGTTTAAAACGTCTGGGTAAGAAACACTTAAGGAATTGATCTAAAAATCAAAATTAAGTGCTTACAGTGTCACAGGAAGTTTCATTTTTATGTTCAGTGTGCACTGTCTCAAATCTATATGTAGATGTTGAGTCACTGCTACTTGCCTGCCAGCACTGCAGAACATTACTAGCTGCCCTGGAAGATACCGTACTGCAGTGTGCTTCTTCTTGCTTTAGTAACCTAAAAATGTTTGCTGCTTATCATGCCAATCACTCTTCCTTTTGCAGACTCCATTCTATCTTTTTATACACAGTGATAGGGAAGGAAGGGACTTGCACCCATCTCTTTCTGCTACTGCAGAATGTTATTCTAAATTATTGAAAATATGGGGTCATCCTGCAATGTGCAGAATTTTCAGTTCTCAAGGAAAGGTCATTGTGCAAATGGCTTTCATTTCATTTGATAAAATATTTGATAATTTTTTTTTGTTCCATGTATCTTCATAAAGAGGTTATGCCACCTAATTCTGAACCAAGTAGAATTCTCATTTATAGCCACACAGGCTTACAGGAGAATTTTCTCTATATATTTTTAAGCCTAAATACTGTTCTGCTTGGAAAAGTAGCTATAAAAATACCATTGTATAAATTTCTATATTTGTTATCTAAAAAATCCAGACTCAGTCTCAGTCATTTTAAATGCAAAAGATGTTTATTTCTAGCTATCACTTCTGCAAAATTCCACCTGATCAGAAGAAATGGGATTTTCACATTGTCATAGACAATCACTAATAGTATTTCTGCGCAACACGTATAGATGTGATAGATACCCTTACCTTCAGCATTTTTTCACATCTTTCAGAATTCTGTTTTCCAAAGGGATAAAAAAGAGTAAAAATAAAAAGGTTCTTTTTGGTCAAATCTGCAAATTGCAACAAGTATTCCTGATCAGTCAAGCAACATAACTTCTATATAGTCATCTTTGTAGGGAAGATTTCTATTTAGCTATCTGGCAAAAAACTCAAGATTGATAAAGCTGACTATTCTAAGCTATAAAAAGACAAAGAGATTGCTAATGGATAACAGGATATGTATAAATCACTTTGTAATAACAAAGGAATTTACACACTACATTCCTTGCCAGATGAATGGCCAGGATGTTGCTGATAGAAATCAGCATCAAAATTGATGCTGTAGGAGTGGTTTTAAATTCCAGTTAAGTTTCTCCAAACAGGTTTCTACTGAAACAGTGTCTGAAATACTTTTACTCTTCTCTTTTTCTGTAAAACTTGAGAAGAGCTTGTTTTTCCTCCTTTGAATCCCGTGTCAGTATCAGTATTCCTTCTCTTGCCTTTGTTATTCTAATCTGAAATCAGCACCTTCTCTTGTTAGAAGGCTGTGGCATAAAATTGGTGGTTTTAAATTTTGGCATCACCTGAGTCAGTGGGAGTCGTCTTTGTTATCATCAATGGCAACACCTATACAATAAATAAAATGGGACAGGGCCATAAGAACGGGGCCAGAGCTGTAAGGGTTAAGTGGTATAGCACAGCTTGTGTCTAAAAACTAAACAGCCTTTTGCCCTAAAACTGAATGTCCTTGTCCATTCTGCCTGTGGAGAATTGTTCACGGTTTATGAACCACCAGAACAAGGATAACCAGCAGATCAAGTGCCTGGTCATCATCCTGAAGAGTGGGGGTGAATGTGGGTGAAGACTGTGCTGAGAAACATGCCAACAGTTAAAGGTAAACACTGTGGATGGGTAAAGGGCTGCGTTGGCATGTCCTAGCCATGCTTATTTTATTAATATTAATAAGACCACCAATGAATCTTAATTCTGTCTGGATAGACAGAAAAAAAAAGCAAAAGGAGAAACTGATCAAAAGGGAAAAATGTAGTAGAAAATACATAATATGGGAGAGAGAAATGAAAGGTCTCCCTCAATCCCCTATTCCAAAGGTCACATGCTAGAGAGAATCTGTAGTACCCAGAGTATTTTGGAATAATTTGGAAGTATTGCCTTGTCATGTGATATGACACAGGCTGGAGATCTTCAACCAGTCATTGACTATTAGAATTGCCTGTGCATCTGAGCAACGAGCCCCACCATTTGAGATATTCAGCATACAGACATGCTTATTAGTTTGGATACCTCTGTTTCTCCCCAGGGTCCCCTTACAATCATCCATGCTTCATAAATGCCTGGGATCCCATTTAGAGCAGAACTAGATGTTGCCAATGTGGCTTGGTGGTTCAACGGTCTGGAGACTGTTTTAGTCGCTAACAGGGATGGGATTGCACCAGGTTTCGTTCCTTCCATCTTGTCATCCACATTTGGACCCTCTCATGCAACCACGCTTCTGGCAGGTAGTATATTCCTTTGGTATCACAGCATAAAAACACAAACACGAGAGATTGGAAGGCAGTACCCTCATTATATTGGACATATTATAAAGACTTCTGTGATGAAACTGTGAAGGGAGTGAAACAAAAAATGGAAAAGTAAAAAGATGACAGGATAGAAAAAAATGAGCAAAGAGCTAAAAACAAAGGATAAGATTCTTCTTGTTTTGATTTTGAAACAAATAAATAAACAGTTGTATTATTGTTTTTGGCGAAATCAGGATCAGACCCCCAAAATTTCTATGACATTTATTTTATTTTGTGGATATAAACTCGTAGTATTTTATATATGAGTAACGCTGATGAATGAAATGAGATGTCACAGCATTGGCGAAGTTTTCTGTACCTAGAAGCTGTGTTGGATCCTGATCCGCCTAACGTTTACGATTTTAAGCTTCCTTTCATTTTAGTGGGATGATCCACTGCTGTTTTTCTTGGCTTGATACATTTTCTGGCAACAGGTTCATTGTCTATTTTACCTGTTCACAGAAACTCTGCTGTTAGCAGCGTTTTACCAAGCAGCAGTTTTACCTCCCAGTCACTAAGTAAAATGACAAGTATCTTATTTCCTAGTCAGGGACTGGAATCTAGGCCTACAGACCCCTGGTTGGAGTGAAATGGCACAGCTGGCTGGAAGGGGCCTCTGGTCGTCTCTAGTCCAACTTCCTGCTCAAAGCAGGATGGTCGCCTGCGCTAGGTCTGGTCAGCTATGGCTTCGTCCAGCTAAGCCTTGAGAACGTCCCTCCCTAGGCATCCTTTGCTCATGACAATTTTTTCCTACTTTCCAGTCTGAACCTCCCAAGCTGCACCCACTGCTTTTCTTTCACCTACATAGTTGGTCATCTCATCATAGAAGGCACTTAAGTTGATCAAGCCTGTGTAAAACTGTGTTTACTTTTCCTGATTACCTTTTTGTCCTTCACGTATTTTGGAATTGGATTCCAGCTGGATATTCTCCATGATCTGTCTTGTGACTGAGGTGAGATTTACTGGCCTATAGTTCCCTGCAGCCTTTCAGTTTTTCATAAACATGGCTTTTTCCACTCTTGGGGAGCGCTGCTGATCATCATGCTTTTTCCGAGACGGCGGACTACACAGGCGGCCTCGGTGTGCTCCTTGTCCCCGTGTGCGAAGGCTGGGAATTGTGTGAAATTTGAAGGAATTTCACACAATGAAATTGTGAAGGAAGCAAGGGGCAGGGAGATAGGGGCACTTAAAGATGGAGGTACTGGGGGGAACAACAAACAGCTCTGCTTTCCTCATGAGATTAAACTGCAATTCCAACAAAAAAACAAAACAAAGAGGTGAAACCAGGTTTGCCTCGCGTGTATCACACAGTGCTAGAGGTGCTGTAGTAACTGGTCAGGCCCCGCTGGTGCGTTTTCCTGGCGAACCGCGCCGACGGCGGGGGGCCGCGCACGCCGCCACCTCTCCGGAGCTAACCGCGGGTCACCGCCTTGCCCTGCGCGCACCTCCGGGGGCTCAGCCCG